TTCCTCTGTTGATGTAGACTTAGATTTTAAGGACTCCTTGGCATTGTCGGGTCCCCTACAGGATCAAGGGGAAGCTATGTGAGAGGAAACCGGGAGTGTCACCCGATCTATTTTTCAGGTAACTAGACAGTTGAAGTAGCCAAAAAAGCGAGGTAAAGGCAAACTCGTATAAGGAGGCAAGCAAAAAAGAAAACAACTCACGGGGGGATCATAGATTAGATAATTGAGAAGGGAAAGAATCCAATTTAGAGGGAATTGATCAATAAGCTAAGAGAAAAACCCTGTGGAAATAGCTCTATGACTCTGTAGAACTTTACAGCACGGCGGAAAAAAGGAAATGAGGGGAATCTTGGGTGGGAGGAACATATGCCTCATGGGGGATCATCCCATAAAATTGTTACTTTTAGATCTGGAATGCTTCAAGAACGTCAGCACAGGCGCAGACTAAACCCATATGTGTGTATTCACAGAGGCCACGAAGAAGAATATTATTATTTTTTTAAAAAAACTGAACCATCTGGAGGACAATTTCAGGAGTTCCACAACCTCTTTTAGACCAAGTGTGAAGTAATACCTAGTTTTGAATCCACCCCCAATACACAAAACAACTCATAAGGGGCCAACAACTTGATGAAATTTATCCCTCATGCACTCTGGACAGATTAAGGGGGCTTTAAAAAGTAAAAATATGTCCATGATTTCTGTGGTATGTATACTGCATGTGGTTGCTGAGGGGTATGCTTTGCCCACCCCACTCTGAATACACTGGGATATCTTTCCAACAGTGATAACAGTAAAGACCTAATTTTTCTGAAGTTTCAATACCTTATGGACAGTGCTAAAATCTTTATTTGCCCAATCGTTTCTTCATCTGGTGGAAACATAGAATTGTAGAGCTAGAAGAGACACCCACAGGTCCTCAAGTCCACCCTCCTGAACTAGTCCTCCAACTCTTTATTCACACTTCATATTGATTTGTAGACAAATACCTAGTATTCTCAGTGCTGAACTAAATGCACTGTGCCCATAAAATAAATTCATGAAACAGATTTCAATAAGGAAGTTAAACAATGGATACTGAGTTCCATTTCATCTCGGATTCTGTAGCTAGAAAATCATAAATCAGTCTAAGAGCTCCGGTCAGACACAAACTAAGACAAAGGCCACCAAGCAAAAGCAGTCCTATTTCATTAAAAGACAAGAAGCATCCCCTAAGTTTTGTGATGAAAGGACTGGAAGATGAAAAACAAACAAACAAACACCTCCTGATTTGAGATTACCTGATCTGTTGTAAGCATTCCACAGCTGAAGCAAAGCAGGCATCTTTTGTATTTGGAAGTACCTACAAATGAAAAGCAAGAATTACTGCCAGTTTCATCTCTAACAAGGGACTGTATACAACCAAATAACTAAGGTTGCCCATCTGGCAAACAGAGATGCTGGATTAAGACTTGCCTTTCAGTACCATGATTGTTCAATCATTACATTCATTCCAATTTAGAGAAGCTTCTTTTAAGGGAGAAAATGGAATATCAATTGTTTTGATCAGGCTGGCAAGGTTTCAGTTTATCTGGTAGGTCAGCTAAACTCTAATTAATTAATGAACAGAGTTATGCCACGAGAATACGTTTATTTTTCTTTCACAGAAATCTGTGAAAGAATAAGTGTACATTACAAAAATGACTGATATTATGGAATGTTTTAAAAAGGTAACCAGAACACATGCTTTAAAAATGACACACATGCCCTCTAGTTTTCCTTTTCAAAGCTAAAAGTTTACCAAAGAAAACCCGATGTAAACATCCTATGAATGAAAAGTACCTTTTTGTTTTCTCCCAGGATAGATGTAGTTGTTGGCCAAAATTTCCTAGAAAAAGCACCATAAATATAGTTTATTTATTTAAAATGTTTTTCCCCACCTTTTTCCCTAAAAAGGACCCAAGGCATCTTGCATCATTAAAAGACAATATTTAAAGCTAAAAACAGTAAATATACAAATAATAAAATGGATTTTTTAAAATTACACTAAAAACAGTATAAGAATCCATTAAAAAAACCCTCAGTCTGGTAGCCAGCCACTAAGGGAAAGCTTGTCTGAAGGGAAAGGTCTCCACCTACTCGTGGAAGAACAGCAAAGATGGGGCCAGTCTGGCCTCCTGTGAGAGGGAGTTCCAGAGTCTGGGAGTAGTGGCACAGAAGGGCCTCTCCTGAGTCATCACCAAACATGGCTGTGAGGGTGGTAGGACCAAGAGAAAGGCCTCACCTGATGATCTTAACACTCAAGCAGGTTCATATAGGGAAACGCAGTACTTGAGATTACTTGGAGCCAAGCCATTTTGGTCTTTATAGCTTAAAACTAGTACTTAGAAAGCAGTCCAAGAAAGCATATCCCAGATAAAATGTGCTAGCCTTTAAGATACTGCAGGGCTAATTTCACATGCTAGCAAGGTTATGCTCAAAATCCTCCAAGGTAGGCTTCAGCAGTATGTGGACGGAGAACTCCCAGAAGTACAAGCTGGATTTCAAAGGAGCAGAGGAACTCGAGACCACATTGCTAACATGCACTGGATTATGGAGAAAGCCAGAGAGTTCTAGAAAAACATCTACTTCTGCTTCATTCACTATGCAAAAGCCTTTGACTGTGTGGACCACAACAAACTATGGCAAGTCCTTAAAGAAATGGGAGTGCCTCAGCACCGTATCTGTCTCCTGAGAAATCTATATGTGGGACAGGAAGCAACAGAACTGGATATGGAACAACTGATTGCTTCAAAATTGGGAAAGGAGTAAGACAAGGCTGTATATTATCCCCCTGCTTATTTAACTTATATGAAGAATACATCATGCAAAAGGCAGAACTGGCTGAATCCCAAGTCAGAATTAAAATTGCCAGAAGAAATATCAACATCCTCAGATATGCAGATGATACCACTGGCAGAATGTGAGGAGGAATTAAAGAACCTCTTAATGAGAGTGAAAGAGGAGAGCGCAAAAATGGTTGGAAGCTCAACATTAAAAAAAATTAGATCATAGCCACTGGTTCCGTCACCTGGTAAATAGAAGGGGAAGATATGGAGGCAGTAACAGATTTTACTTTCTTGGGCTCCGTGATCACTGCAGATGGTGACAGCAGCCACGAAATTAAAGGACGCCTGCTTCTTGGGAGGAAAGCGATGACAAATCTTGACAGCATCTTAAAAAGCAGAGACATCACCTTGCCGACAAAAGTCCGAATAGTCAAAGCTATGGTTTTTCCTGTTGTGATGTATGGAAGTGAGAGCTGGACCATAAAGAAAGCAGACCGCTGAAGAATTGATGCCTCTGAATTGTGGTGCTGGAGGAGACTCTTGAGAATCCCCTGGACTGCAAGGAGAACAAACCTATCAATTCTGCAGGAAATCAACCCTGAGTGCTCATTGGAAGGACAGATTCTGAAGCTGAGGCTCAAGTACTTTGGCCATCTCATGAGAAGACTCCTTGGAAAAAACCATGATGTTAGGAAAGTGTGATGGCAAGAGGAGAAGGGGACGACAGAGGACAGGATGGTTGGACAGTGTCATTGAAGCAACCAACATGAATTTGACCCAACTCTGGGAGGCAGTGGAAGACAGGAGGGCCTGGCGTGCTCTGGTTCATGGGGTCACGAAGAGTCGGACACGACTTAACGAGTAAACAACAATAAGAAGGACTCTTCATAAATATACACATTAAGATTCATTGAGAAAGAGCCAATTTATGCAAAGCAGGGCCAACCAATAAATCTGAAAGCAACCACTGTAGAGACGGAGTGAGCAGGGAGATCAGGAGTAGTTCCAAAAATCAAGATACTCTCAGATCAAAATTCCCTCCAATCTCCAGAGATGCCTCAATTGCTGCTCAGCAGCTCCTCAGTCCCAAGGGCATGGCTGGAGTTCATGATGATTCAGAGGCAGCCCGGTTCAAGATGACATGCAGCTGCCTCTAGTCCTCTCAAATGTCTGTCATCTCTTTTGCTGCTGCTACCACCACAGTTAAGAGGGGCATGACAATGCTTTTTCTTCTGACTATACTAGCCTAAAATCAGCAATAACAAAAGCGAACTTATTAATTAAGATGGAAAAGTGAGAATGGAAGAACTTGCAAGTTAGTAACATAGGCTTAAACAAGGCAATGAGAGGCACAAGACAGCAACAACACGAAGAACAAGAAGCCAGTGTTGCAGATATGGAGAAGAGATGGCTAGAAGAGAGGAAGTAATCAAAATAAATAAATAAATGTGCCAAGGACAGTTACAGGCAGGGAAAAAAGTAGAACCATTCTAATTTTCTACACTATTCTTCCTGTGATTTTAAACTATGGCAAGTGAAAGTACCTCATATTTGACTCAGAAAAAACAATGGGGGCTTAAAGCAAGAACTTACTGATGCAGCTTAAGGCAAGATTCAATTAAACTAAGCACACAGGTATTTATGTGATAGAATCAGATAAAAATACAGCAAAGAAGTGTTCTGCCCAAATTGTTCCTAAAAGCTCTCAGTCTCCCTGTTACGTGCTGTCACACTGGAAGTGCCTTAGCGGGACCCTAATAGAGCTTTCAAGGTAAGTGAGAGATTTAAGGAATGTTTTATAATTCCATCACCCTGAAGTGTTGAGAGGTCAGAGTTAGTACCAAAACAGTAACCAAAAAAAGTGTTGTTTAAAAATAGAAGAAGGAAAATTACTTATTTTGTTTCTGTTTTGGAATCATTGTTTTCAACAACATGCTTACTGTTGTACTCCCAAAAAGCTCATAAGTGCAGTGTCCGGTTGTTTATTCAGGCGCAGAACGCACTCCCAGTAAACGTCTTCTTCTCGTTCGTTGTCCAAGGCATACAGCATAAACAGAGGAGGGTAGAGTCGTGGCAGCAACACCGGAAGTAGCAACCCAGAGCTTGTGACCACGTAACTTAAAGTATAAAAGAAACAGAAATCTTTTTAACAGCCTACAGAACACATGGAAGCCAACTCAAACCTACAGTAAGGTTTTGTTGTACGATTTAAGCCTTTTCGTTCTTCCCTATCAACAGCATGGGATGAGGAGGCAGAAGGCAAAAGAGGCTGGGGATATTAATGTATTTGAATTTTCAGCTGACTGCACAAAATTACCGCGACCAAATAGTATCCTGGATTTGTATTTACATTTTTTATTAAACCGGGGGGGAGGGGGGAAGGGGGGAGCCTAACTATGTTTATTCATTCAAGGTGGGGAGGCCCTGTTTCGTCACTGATTTCATTTTCATAGGCAAGGGGGGAAAAGTGCAAAAGTTGTCTTTCTCTGGGAGAGATGAGTTTTTGTGAATTTTTTTTAGATTGCAGCACCTTCCAGAGGAAAAAATCACAGAAGTATTCCCCCCCCAGACAACCCATATTTGCATAAACACCCAAAACAAAAGAGCCTCGTGGCGCAGTGGTCAAAACGCTGTACTGCAGCTAAAACTGTGCTCACGACCTGGGGTTCAAATCCCAGGTAGCCGGCTCAAGGTTGACTCAGCCTTCCATCTTTCCGAGGTCGGTAAAATGAGTACCCAGCTTGCTGGGGGGGCAATGTGTAGCCTGTATAATTAAAAATTGTAAACCGCCCGGAGAGTGCTTGTAGCGCTATGGGGCGGTATATAAGTCCAATAAATAAATAAATACAGTGGTGCCTCGCACAGCGAGGTTAATCCATCCCGGAATAACCCTCGCTGTGTGAAACATCGCTGAGCGGGGCAGAAAAGCCCATTGGAACGCATTAAACGATGTTTAATGCGTTCCAATGGGCTTTTCTGCCCCGCTCAGCGATGTTTCACACAGCGAGGGTTATTCCGGGATGGATTAACCTCGCTGTGCGAGGCACCACTGCAAACAAATAAATAAATAAATAAATAAATAAATAAATAAATAAATAAATAAGGTGTTCACAGAACAGAAAGCTTCCATGCACAGGTTTTTGTGCTTGTTTTGCAAATGCTGTTGCTGATAAAAAAACCAAGTCCTGACGCAATTACTCATTTTTGACATGGTGTCTGAGTGTCTTGAAACACCCATTTTCATCAAGGAAATGTTAATCTGTGATCATTTGTTATCCTCTTATTTGAGAGTAAACATAAAGCCAAGTTTTTTCTTCTCAGATTTTTCTTCCTCAAACATTACCATTCTCTTGCACTGGACTAATTCTAACACTGGGCCCTGAATGAAATTTCTAAACAAAAAAAAAGAGATTTTGTCTACATACCCTGGTTCTGGAGACTCAGATCTTGTGTCATTTCTTCCACTACAGAAAGATCTCCTTCCTTTGGTTTTGGTTACCAAAAGTGGAATTGTACTGCCCTCTTCAGGAAGATCAGGGAATAAGAACCTTAAAACCAAAATAGATACTGTACTGATCATCAAAATTTCCTAAGATTTCTTTACACGAGTCCTAATGTTTGAAAATCAATTTTCTTTGAGCAACCCTGAAGATGTAAATTAGCAATAATTCAAGTAATCTGCTTGATAATACCCTTTTAAAAAACCAAGACATTTATTTAAATTTTATTTATTTAAAATATTTTACCCCGCCTTTCTCTTTGAAAAGAACCCAAGGCGGCTTACAACATTGAACGATAACATGAACTATAATCTATAGCCAAGTGTTTATTTTCAATATTGGTCAAAAAGAAAGGAAGAATATAGACTATTTACAATACATTATTTTGAAAAAAAATCTTGGTTTTTCTTACTTGACCAACTGGAAGATGCGTTTGAGATAAGATTTGATTTCTCTGACTGCTTCCTGCAACAATCGCCGATTGGCTCCCACTCCTACGTACGTCATCCGGTATACAGCTACTAAAGTCTCAACAAGTTTTCCCAAAGGATGCAGTGGAGTATCACATGCCTACACAAGAATAAGTCAAAAAGGACACCGAAGGATTAAGTTGTAGTGTTTACTTTGGGTGGAAGTTAAAGTACAGTACAGCCTGCATTACTGTGCCCATGTTCTGAGCAAAGATTTGGGAGGGTTATTGTATAGTCTGAATTTTTGGTGGGTTACTTGTTGGAGTGTCTTGCCCCAAGGTCAACTGCCTGACCCATCGGGTCCTCATAAATGAGGCTCCTCTGGGTAGCCACCCCAAGGGAGGCTCACAAATGTTGTACGAGAGATAGGGCCTTCTTCATGGTGGCTCCATCTCGTGGAATTGGCTCCCGGAGGAGCTTCGCCTGGCCTCCCCTCCCTGGTGACATTTAAGAGGCAACTAAAAACATGGCTCTTTAGTGAGGCCTTCCACTCTGACCCTAGTTGAGCCAAGGTACTTCTACATTTACATTCAGTCATTTGCTGTTCATATCTTTGTTATTTTTTGCTTTCCCACCGGTTTTATTAATGCTCAGGTGCCCTCTGTTTTTACCTGATTAGATGTTACGGTTTTGTCATATTATTTGTCTAATATATGTTAGCCACAGAGAGTAGTGCTGTGGCACTAGTGAGTGCGGTGTATCAAACTGAAACAATAAATAAATAAATAATAAACAAATAAACCATATATTTTTATTTCAAGCCAAAGGATTTGTCCCTTTGAGGAATAAACTAATTGCTCATGTCAAACTCACTTTTTAGTGCCAACCTAGCATTTTAAGCTGAAATTCCACACCTACTTTAAAGAGCAAGCACCACTGAAGAGAACAAAGCTTATTTTCAAGTACACAGGATTATAGTGTCAGGAACAATACCAGTAACCAGTAAACAAAACAAAGCAAATATAAGTTTGTATTTTTATAATTAATAAATAAATAAAAAATAAA